ACAATCAAATGCAGTTATCAGTATATTATATTTTAAATTACTTTTTCTTTTTTTTAACAGAATTTTGGAGAAAGAAATCACAAAGTCCGATTAGCTGTTGGAAATGGAGTAAGAAACGATGTTTGGAGAGAATTTTTAGACAGATTTGGTGCTGTTAAGATCTGTGAGTTTTATGGTGCTACTGAAGGAAACATTTGTTTCATGAACCACACAGGAAAAATTGGATCTGTTGGGCGCACCAATTTCTTTTATAAGGTGACTATTTATTTACATTGTACTTTGTAAAAGGGAGTGCTGAAGCTAGATGTGTTTCTCAGTCTGACCACAGGACATGGGCCTGCAGTCATAAGTCCAAGGTAAATTTTCTTAGTTGCTGCAAGTTTAATTGACCCTCTGTAAAATCTGGGCTGTCAAAATGTTGCGGATAGTGCTTAGCACCCAATCCCGTTATACATTATACTTTCAGTCGTAACACTTAGATTTTTCTTAAAGTTCACAAGAGTATATTTATATTGCATATTACTATGTAAATATTTGGCATAAATGGGAATTAATAGTAATTAAAAGAAAGTAACATATAGACAGATATAACTTTAAGAGGTATTTTATACCTAGGTGCAATTAAGCATAAGTAACTCAAACTACTTTATATGTAGTCTGTAACATTATTCAGAAATTTCAGATAACACAATACACATATAATCACTGTTGAGTAGTTGTGACAGACAATACTTGCCAAGGGTATTAATTTAAAAATTCTATGCCTCTTTATCTACAAGCCTGCTATATTTATTTGGTTTGTTCTAGGTTACTAAAACTAAAAATACATTTTTTTCACTGCTTATTCAATAGTCTCTGTTTTGTATTTCATCAGCTTTGACAATGGAAGTCATATGTCTTGGGGAAAAGAAATATGTATTATTTCTATCACACATGGTGGCTTTTCCTTCATCCTTCTGAGTAAATGAAGAAGAATTTGTTTCAGCTTGAAATTCACAGATAGATTTTTTCCTTTGGGTCCTGTTAGTACCATATCTTAAATGGCTTGAGAAGTCAGTAAGTAACATGTGTCCCAAATTTTAGCTAATAATATGAAAGATTATTTATTAAAGCTTTCTAGCAAGGAGACTAGATATTTAACATTGTATTATTATTTACACCAGTTTTTAGTCTTCTTGAAATAAATAGGACTGCACGCATTTCGTAGAATTTGCAAATTAACTGAGATACCTATCTATATTGAGATACCTATTTATATATACAGATCCTGTTGACTTAAGTGGCATTCGCGCTTCTGAGGAGAACTGATAGTAAAATGCCCTGACAAAACTTTTTTTTTTTTTTTTTTTCAGAGAATGATGTAAAAATATTGTTTGGAAATACATTAGAAGTTTCTTCTGATGACATGCAAATAGGTTTCTAGGCAGCATACATTCCAGGGTCCACAACTTCAATACAGCATCACCACATTACGATCACCGCAGACTTCTTTACAACATGCTACTGGGTTAGGAATCCAGACTGCAGGGAGCAACCTGGAAACACTCAGAAAAACACAAGTGCTAGTGTATTTTTCAGAAACAGTTGAGAGCTCAGGAATTTAAGTGGACTGATTCTGCTGATTCTCTGTTCTACGTGACTAATGCTCTGTAGTATCTACAGTGGACATCTGATGCTGATGGATGTCTCTAGAAGGATACAGATCCACTACATGAAGTCAGGAATTTGGAATTTAAGGAGGAGTAGTCGGTGAACCTGGAACCTTAGAGCTGTGTTATTTTTTGTTTCAGACTTTTCTAAGCCACATGCTTTAATTATTTTAAACCTTTTTTTAAAAAAAATCTTAAGAAATTTTACATTTTTTCCAAACTTGAGTAAACTTGTCTTCAGTATTTCAGAACTTTTGACAGAGTTTTGTCACAGGTCATTAACCTTTTGGAAATACTGTGTAAGGGTTACAGCAGATAAGAATTAGGCTTGAAATTACTTATTTATTGATTTAATTTTCTATGGGTTTAGTCAAGTAGTGTAGCAGCTTTGCCTGTATTAATAGTGGCACTTCATATGTCAATAATATCTGCTGTTTGTATTTCCAAAAGGAAGAATAGTATTTTGGGGGGTTTTGCACATGAAACATGCTACTTTTTCCTCTTTGATGATTGGATTTATGATTTGAGTTAGTCACTGCAGATTAGGAGAAAAAATAGCTCATGCAAACTGCAATTAAAAAATAAATGCAGTTGTAATGGAATACTTGATATCACTACACATCTTTGCTATAATTTATATACTATTCCAAGTTGGAACTATTATAATCTATGGAAACATCAGTGTAGTCTGCTAAGATAATTATGGATTGTCCCCTTACCTACTCAGTATGAATGCAGAAAGGTAGATATTTTATGAAGCAGAAAAAGCCATTCATCCCTTTGGCTTGGCTTGAAATCAATTTCATTCTGTCTTTTTCAATATTCTTTTCCCTAGAAATAAATCTGCAGTAAGTCTTCAGTTATTTCCGTAGTTTGTATCGTTGAGGAAAATAGCTAAAGCGCATTATTTGTGAGCAGGCTTAATAGTTACCTACTACCATTCTCCAAGGGGCATGGGGTGTATTTCTTCCCAGCCCCTCCCCAGTGTATATACATTTGCCATTCTATGACTGTGGAGTTTGAGCAAAGAAGTTGTCACTGAAAACCAGATTCAATGCAGAGACAAACTACCTCACCTTTGTTACATGGGCATGTCTAGCCAGGTCAGTGGGTTGCAAAGAGAACTGCCCCAAATCTCTTTGAAGCCGAGCAGGTTTTAGCAACTACTCCAAAGCTCCATTAGGAGCTTTTTCATAAGTAATATATTTTGATCCAGAGCATTTATGGTTGTGTGACATACATGGTCTCTCTCTCTCTGAAAGAATTTGTGTCAGTGGAACAACATGGCATATTGATAATATTCCAATAGTTACATGTCTCAAATTAACAGTTCTACAGTCTGTTAACTACTGGGGCTCTGCTTCTGTCACCAGTTCAGTTCCTCTGGATGGCAGTTCCTTCAGTCTGCTTCGTGACACTTGTTTGCAGGAGCAGCTTGCTCCCTCATATGCTGAAGTACAGTAGTGTTGACATGAACAAGGGCTTAGGTATAGTTCAGTTTCAGAAAAGTCTAGAAGAGGTTGAGAGAGAGAAGGAATGTTGAAAATACCATGAGATATACTTTTTAGTTATTTTATTTTAAAAATAAAACCAACTTAAATTAGGGGACCTTTTGTATAAGTTTTTGATTACTCCGCAATCTGTGAGTATTGTGACACATACTATGTATTTTAATGCCATAGATAAGTTCATTTTGACTTCATTCAGGCATTTGTTGTGTTTTTTTTTAAAATACATTTTACAGGTTACAGATTATTAAACACTGCATTCTGAGGTGTAACTAACCAATGTGTTTATTGTACTTCAGTTTGAATGACATCTGCTGCATGTCTAGCAATAAGTAAAGGACAGCAGCTTAATTTCTGATCTGCTGACTGATGAAAGATCTTGAAATGAAGTCGGAAAGGGAGAATGTCTCCTGCTGGAAAGCAGCAAATGGCATAGGCAAGGTCCAGCCATCCAATTCCCCAATTTTTTCGTTTCTTCAAAAAGCTACAACCATATTGAAACATTATTCTCTTGACACATGGGACAATATGAGGTGATACCCTTAGGCATACTCTGTAGGGATTTCCTAAACACCTGTTTCTTAGACTGGGAATAGAAAGTAAGAGAACTGAGAAAGGGGAAAAGAGGCTTATATGTTCATATATGTGATGCAGTAAAGGACAAGGAAGAAACTTACTCTCTTTCTACTGGCATAATTGCACAGTTGGATTGAAGTAAATGTAGTATCAACACCCATACATACAGATATTGAGAGTATAGTGGGAATAATAGTAGGTAGGTTCAAAACCTAATATATTTTTCAGGGAAAAAAGAAAGAGAAATGGGAAGACATTTCTGTTGTAGGTAATGGCAATTGGCACAGTTTCTAAAGGTGAACCGCAGACAGAAGTTACAGCTTTAAAAGACAAATTGAGTGCTCAGAATGAGCAAAGCAACTTTTCTGTCCGTAACTACCAAGGGTTGGGAACAAGTACTTGTGAAAAATATTAAGGTTCTACATAACACATTTTCATAAATACTTTGTAAGACACAAGCTAATAAGAAGAAACAGATGCATGTTATAGCAGTTTCCAGACATTGAAGAAGCCACTGTGTGTGAGATGTTAACTTGAAGCAGTGCTCTTGTTTGTACTTGTTTATTTTTGCACTATACTCTTTAGTATAAAAAGAGGGATTGGTTCATGTGTTTGAAAGCATCACTGTGGTATGTGAATGAATCCTTCAATAAGGATGTTCATATATGAAGGAACAGAAAAGTAGAAGCCTCTGAATAGATTTTTGGCTGGTAAAACTTCAAGTGTTCTACAAAGAAGAATGTGTCTAGATTAACATAATAATGTAATAAATTACTGTTTAATATTTACATCTGGCATATATATGTAGGTAGTTAATGATTAATTTTATTATATATGACATACATTTTGTGTGTATTTATATATTTTTAAAACATTTATAAGATATGATGATACTATGCTCCAGATTTCTTTTTTCTTGCATTTCACTTTTTTAAAGTGCTTGGAGTCTAAATCTAGTAAATCTAATAATTTGTTTTATAAAGATATTCTGCTAGAGAATTCAACAATATCTCATCCTGAAAACAAGTAACTAAATAAAAGCAGTACCTTGTGATCTTTGTTCTCTGATGAAGGTTCTGTGAGCAGTCATTGTAAGTTGAAACTTTAAGAATTTCAAAACTATTTCTGAAACAATATTTAAACTCACATATTTCCAGTCAATTAAAAAAAGAGTGAGGGATGCTGCTACTTGATAACATCCAGGCACCACAGTAACAGACAATAATGTGTAGTTTAACTCATTTTAAGTTTCAGCTAGATAAATGATGTTTTTTTTGTTTGGTACATTTATGTGATGCTTTAGGGAGTAAAATGTAGATTAAAATGATGAATGCTGCATGCAGTACTCTATGAAAATAATATGGTAACGCTTCAACAGCTCAGGCCCTCTTTTCTAATAAATTTTAAATAATGAGATAAAACAAATGTAGGCCTTTACCCAGACTAAATGCTTTGCTCTGGAAACAGCTGTTTGCACAGAATGTATATTGGCACAGTTTCATTATGCATGTCTAATGCAATGTGTGGTGTTTCCTCCTTTTAATTATGTATTTGCATGACTTATTTCAGAATGCTAACTGAAGTAGGCACAGTTAGTACGCTTAAAGTTACAGGCACATAAAAATGTATACAGCAACATAAATAATAAAAGTCTCAACAGTTTTTAGATGATCTCAGACTAACGAAAAGTTTCTGAGTATTTATAACAACTTTAAATAATGCATCATACAGACAAATATGTTGACAAGATGCAGCTAGTGAGCTCTGAAGGAATGAACAGATAAAATGGAACTGAACAGGGCTCGCTGCAGTTCTAACCCAAAAAAATCAGAATAACATTTGATTTTACACCATTTCATTCTTATTATTTGTATTATTCATTGGATTTGGTGCATCTTATGAAACCTATTAAAGTACTAAATATCAGTGTAAAAAAGAAAGTGAAAAAGAACAGCAATTAAATGTAGACAGTCAAAAGACTCTAAGAAAAAATGACTTGTGTTTATTATTCATACCTCCCATTCTGTTCATCAAGAATAATACAATTATTTTCTAATTAAGGAGAACTTTTTGGCTCTCACATTCATGACTTTGGTAAATGCTATAGTCTGTAGTTGTTAAAAAAAAATACCCTTCACTTTATTCAAAAATTGTCTGATTCTAAGATCATGACTTGATTTGTCATGCTATGACTTTGTTCCTTTGATCAACTGTTAAAAATATCTGTTTCAGACTTAGGGTAGTCTGAACATTGAAAAGTCTCAGTGAAACGAGTTTGTCCCTATCAGGCTGAAATTTTGTGCTTGATGTTTGATTCAAGATGCTATTTATTCAGACTTCCTTGAAAACAAAATTGTTTTATATAGCTACAGCAACATTTCAAATTCAGATAAAATAATTGTGCACCTCTTCATCCAAATTAATTGCAGAAAAGCAAAGGGGTTTATGTTTTAGCATCCTATCCTTTACTTTAGTCAGTTTCATAACATCATCCTTAAATTATAGTTCTTTATTGTGAAGAATGTAGCTGTATATCCATATGTTCTTAAAATTGTTTTCTCTGCTTGCCAATATTTCTCTAGAAGGTAACTGTATATCCTTGGTTTGACTAGTTGTTAAATAAATTGCTGATATACTTCTTTATGAAAAAGGAAATCAGAATCCCAAGCTGGGCAAACTGAAGGCTTGGGATAATAACGGCAAACCATGGTCCATATAGTATCAGGCATATGTTATCTGTCAGTGTCTCTCAAAGGTCTAATTTTGGATTTATAGTAGAAAAATGGAGCAAAATAGGGGTCAGACCCTGTATATTGGAGAAAAAGAATATTTCTAGTGTCAATAAGAGTATCTTGCCCTCTCCATCAGCTTACTCAGAGACACAATCTTTATGATCCTTATGCAAGAGGAAGGTTACTTGTAAAACATAACTGGTCATCAGTGTCAGGACTCAAGGGTTCACAGTATTTCAGAAAAATACAGAACTAACCCTGACATAACTGTATAATGTGCACAGCTACAGACACAACTATGTCAAATGACATGGGAGTATGTATCCTTCTGCTGGTGCTCATGATAAGACTTTCCACCAAGGGGAAGTGAGGCTAGTTAAGCAAGAGTAAAGCCCATCAGGAAGCAGATTTCCCTTTGTAAGGATAGTTAGGCCTTTGCTTTGTCAGGTTTTTTAGGTGCCAGAAGAACCCAAGAATACTTTTGATATTGGCCACCACTATTAAATGTCAGTTAATGCTTCTTAATGCTTTTACTATCCTGACTCATGTAGGCTTTTCCACTGATATGTGGATACCATAACTTATTTGAATGAAAATTAACAAAATTACACTTCTGTGTATTCACCAAGCATTTTTGAAAGATTATAGAAATGCTTTGATGTTGCTTACCTCCACGAAATGGTATAAGTTTACATACAGAGTATTTTAAGTTTTTAATTAAACTACATTCTACTTGCAGATGAGCAAGACTGGAGTAAAGGTTTCCTTGCTTATATTTGCTGCCACAAGGTGTCACTGTGTAGATAAATAACTGATGACCCTTTTTCCCTTTTTTAGCTTTTTTTCCCATTTGATTTAATCAAGTATGATTTCCAAAAAGATGAACCAATTAGAAATAAACATGGTTGGTGTGAAAAAGTTAAGAAAGGTAAGTATGTATTTTAATAGGATATAATGGCCTTTTGATTATAATACAAATACTCCAGAGAATTTTTCTAAGGAGCCTTGCTATCATGTTACTGTACTATGCAAACATCATCTATTACTCTTTGCTCTGTCAAAAACAATACTTTTTTTATATAAGACAGAACAGTATTAAACATGCCTGTGCTGACACCAGAAGAACTTAGGAGATCCTTGGATATATTAACAGAAGAGTGATGTTCAAAAGTAAGGATGTGATGTTATCTCTGAATGTGTGGAAAATTACATCTGTGGCTTTTAAAGGAGGTTAACATAGTGAGATGATTGCCTAAGAGATCTACAAGAAAGACTGGTGGATTATAGCAAATGCTTTTTAATGAGAGTGTTCCTGACTAAGTGAGTTGATTAAGCTTATCAGTTTTTTGTTTTTTTTTTTTTAAAGAAGTTGCTTGCTTATAGCTGTCTTCAAAATAATTATCAAATATCTGATATCTTTTCATTATACCTGTTTTCAAAGTGTTTATCAGATACTGAAGCATCTCTGTTATACTATAGGCAGGTAATAGCTGTAATTAATGCTTGGAAGCTGAAGTGAGGAAGTCTTAACTATTAAAAAAAGAAATAAAAGAAAATATTAAAGGTCATACAGACAGGTTTAACAGGGAGCTGAAGCAGATGTTTCAAGTTAAGAGATTCTCTAAGAGGTCTTAATCAAAGATGGGCACTTTCAGGAAAATATGGTGCCCAAACCATGAAATTTTATAGGAAATTTAACTGTAGGGATGTCGTACTGACCTGTGAAGGGAACACATGCTCTAAACAGACACCTAGTCTATTTTTTTTTCCAGTTATACCAATCAGTCTAATAAAAAGTATTATCTATATCTATTGATTTGTCTTACCCACACGCTATATCTTCAGAGCATCATGGCTGCAGTGACACTACCAGTGAAGTAAATGCTTTCACCTTAAACACTACCAATTTATGGAAGAAAGGCACAGCTCTTTTAAGAGGAGGCAGTCTTAAGTTAAAAATTGTGCATACCTTTGGACACATTTTTATTTTTATATATTTTAATATTTATAATTCTTTTTTTCTGATACAACATAATGCAACTCTTAAGCTTTATTGCTCAGAATGTACTTCCCAAAAGGAGTTCATACTTTCATTTTCATTTTCATTCCACTTTCAGCAAACTAACACCCTGATACTCTACTTGCATAAGAGGATAATCCTATCCCCATCTCTCCCTGTTTTTCTGAGAAAAAAAAAAAGTATATTAAAACTTTATATTTTACTCCAAAAAGAAAGTAATGAGGCTATATCACATTAATGAAACTTCTTAAGAAGTGTTCTCAGAAATTCCGAAAGGAGACTAAATAGAGACTTAATGCCTGGGTTGAACACCTGCTTTTTATTACCACTAGTTTTTCAGTAAGAAGCTGGTGAAGTTGAGACTCATCACTGGAAATTCAGTAAGGTGTGGGGAGTGGGACATAATATTCACTTGAAGTGTGCATTTTGAGAGGATAGTAAACCTATTAGTGAACTCCCAATTGATAGATGACAGTTCTGGAAGAAAACTGTTTGATGAGTCACCAGGAAGAAGCACAGGACTGGGAATTTGAGTGGACAATATTGTACTGTGTCTTTATGATTACTTTGGATGTAGAGGTGACAACAGGAATTGTAAAGCAGTAGAAAGAGGTGTTTATTGTTGTATCCCACATACTGGTCAAACTGGTTCCTGGTCTTGTAAAATCATAGGTACCAGATTAATATTAATGTAAAGTACTGGAAATGTTCAACGATACGTTAGGTTTACACTCTTTTAACTTCTCTATATAGGTGAGGCTGGTCTTCTCATTTCCAAAGTCAATGCGAAGAACCCTTTCTTTGGTTACGCTGGCAGTAAGAGACACACAGAAAAGAAATTACTCTGTGGGGTATTTAAGAAGGGAGATCTTTATTTTAACACTGGAGATCTAATGGTTCAAGACCATGAAAATTTTCTTTATTTTTGGGACAGGATTGGAGATACCTTCAGGTATAGCCATTGTTTCTTTTCACATTTCTTCATTAAAAAACCATGGACATGCAGAATACAATAATACTGTTCTATTCGTTTTCAACCAGAAGCATTCGGTTTATTGCTATTGTGATGTAGTTTATAATGATCTCAAAGTGGATGACAGGGGCTTAATTCTGTAAAAAGTGTTCCCATGGAGCTGGATAGCTCATTTCCAGAATGTTTAGGAATTAAAGCCCTTTTATCAGTCCTTCAAATAAGCATAGTAACTAGTGATGGTTTTGCTATGAGCAAGTTGAATACTGAAGTGGAGAAAATGTATCGAATTGTAAAGACTGGTTACAACTGATACATGTAAATACATGTCAAAATTTTGAAAATCATTATGTCAGATTATGCTTTATAGTGATAGCTAATAATCCAGTATCATTTCAATTGCAAGCGTTGTTTTCTGGTGATCAGATCAATATACCAACATGATAGGTGGGAACAAATTTGAGGTGGTGTTAGTCTGCAATGAATGGAGTTCCTGCTAAAGTTAATGTTTTTAAAAAGGAGGTGTCCATATGTTTTCAGGGGATTAAACTATTTTTTCACGTTTTAGATGGAAGGGAGAGAATGTTGCAACTACAGAAGTTTCCGATGTCATTGTAATGTTGGACTTCATACAAGAAGCAAACGTGTATGGTGTATCTGTACCAGGTAACAGAAGCTTCAGCTGTATGTTTTTCTTCCTCTAGGTTAGTTATTAACGTCACAACTCTTTTATTTCATGTTTTAAACCTGTGAATCACTGCTGATTGAGTCATCTGTGTAATACCTAGCTAAAGTGTAGATGTAGATAATGAAAATACCACCAGATGGTGAATGAGATAATGAATCATGCATTTTTATGTGTATGCAGTGATCACAGAATCACAGAATGTTAGGGGTTGGAAGGGACCTCGAAAGATCATCTAGTCCAACTCCCCTGCCAGAGCAGGACCACCTAGAGTAGATCACCTAGAGACACAGTATTGCGTCCAGGCAGGTTTTGAATGTCTCCGGAGAAGAAGACTCCACCACCTCTCTGGGCAGCCTGTTCCAGGGCTCTGCCACCCTCACAGTGAAAAAGTTTTTCCTTATGTTAATATGGAACCTCCTATGCTCCAGCTTGCACCCGTTGCCGCTTGTCCTGTCATTGGCCATCACTGAGAAGAGCCCATCTCATGATTGCATCCTCCTGACACTTGCCCTTTACGTCTTTATAAACATTAATGAGGTTGCCCCTCAGTCTCTTCTCCAAGCTAAAGAGACCCAGCTCCTTCAGCCTTTCATCAGAAGGGAGATGTTCAACCCCCTTAATCATCTTTGTGGCTCTGTGCTGGACTCTTTCAAGCAGTTCCCTGTCCTTCTTGAACGGAGGGGCCCGGAACAGGACACAATATTCCAGAGGCAGTCTCACCAGGGCAGAGTAGAGGGGGAGGAGAACGTCTCTCGACCTCCTGACCACACCCCTTCTAATCCACCCCAGGATGCCATTGGCCTTCTTGGCCATGAGGGCACATTGCTGGCTCGTGGTCATCCTGCTGTCCACCAGTGATGTATATTTTTGAAAAGCTGCCTTTCATGAATTTGTGATAGCTACATAACCTAAATTAAAGTTTGAAGATTTTTTTAAATTCACATCCGTGGAAAATGCATGTGTCAAAATAAAATGTCAACAAGGTAAGAAGTTGGGAGCAGACATAGATAGGACAGCAGGCCCAAACTGACCAAAGGGATATTCCATATCATATGATGCCATACTCAGCATTAGTAGATTGGGGAAAGGAAGAAAGTGAGACATTTGTGGTTGTGGCATTTGTCTTCCCCAGCAACCAGCACATGTGCTGAGTAAGGCCTTGCCCTGAAGGAATTAGGAGGACATCTGTGTGATGATGGGAAATAGTGAATTAAGTCCTGCTTTTGTTGTTGCTTGTGCATGGAGCTTTTGCTTTCCTTATTATACTGCCATTATCTTCATACTTGGGTCATCTTGCTTTCCTTCTATTCCTGTCCCATCCTATGGAAGAAGTGAGTGAGTGAAGTGAGAAGCTGGCTGGATGTTTAGTTTTTGTCCAGGGTGAACCCACCACAAAATGATAAGAGTTTAAAATGTGAAAAAGGTGTCACTTACTCTAGTTTAAAGCTGCACAACAGAAAGATCATAATAAAGAAGACTGAAAATCAGAGTCAAAAATACAACAGCTTTCATTTCTTACACATTTACCTGCAGATTCCTGCCCAGTTTATGCAACTGTGTTGATAATTGCACTTAAATATAAACAAATCAAGTTCCTAACAGATTTTGTAGCATTAGCAAAAAAAAATATAGAAAGGAGACAAAAGATAAGGTTGGCAGAATGTCTCTGCTGTTATTACTAGCTGATGGTTAAGTGTGCAGTTATTTTTGATTGATGAAGTTCATTGCTTTTATATTTTACCGATTCTGGTCTTTCCCATAGGCAAACCAGTAAAAACCTTTAAGCTTTTCCTCTGTTAACAACATTCAGATCCACAGTTTTGAGAGAAGATACTGGCAAGAGAGAAAGGCTAAAACGGAAGGAAGACATAATTGACTAATATGGGAAAGAGGCTCAGCACTCTTGTTTCTGAGAGAAAATGGTGTTCATGTTTATCCACATTTCTTGATTAATATTGAGCATAGGACGCCATTTACTCTTACCTGCCAAACTCATTTACAGCATTATTGCTTAGCTGATCACTTGAGTGATCTCCAAATATATGTAATACCGTGTAAAATATGAAAGTAATCTTCCAGGTTTACTGAAACTCAGAAGGTGATATATATGGCCGTCAGTTTATTAATGCATTACAATTCTTTTCTGTAACGTTCATCCCTAAAATGTCAACTTTATTCATGTTTCAAAATTCTCATCTCACTTACTTTCCCCCAGATCATGATGCAGGAATGGCCTCTGTTATTTTAAAGCAGAACACATCATTAGACTTGGAGCAAATGTATAAGCAAGTAGTGACCTATCTACCAAGTTATGCTTGTCCTCTTTTTTTAAGAGTCCAGGTAAGCTGCATTATTGCACCGTGCATACAAACAGCTACTTCATTTCAACACAGAGATGGCTAAATGAATATCAGAAAGTGCTTGTTCCTGTATCACTTGGTTAGTTTTAGAACGGGTCCTGTTTGTGTCTTCATCAGTGGAGTCCTGGGAAAGCAATTACACAAAAGGGCAATAAAATTTGCAGATTACTTTTAAAAGGGAGGAATTGTACAAATGGGTAAGGATAGAGATCATACAAAAGGATTTAGGGAGATTAGAAGCATGAACACAGGAGAACAAAAAGATTCAGATTAGTAAAATGTGAACAATTGCATCTGGAGAAAATCTAAAATCTGTTTTATTCAGTGGAAATGAGAGAAGAGAGAAGTAGAGCTAAAGCAGGAGTCACTGATTGTGCACAATAAATGAAATGTTATTTGCTGCATAGTACCATGACAAAAGTGAAAGCATTTGAAAAGGTACTAGGCAAATTGAATTAAAAATGTACATTATTATTTTCTTCAGCATAATCATCAGAATCATCCCTGTTTGTCTACTAGTACTTTGCTGTAGTAACTGTCCAATTTGGAAAAAAAAATAATCCCTCCCCCAAAGAGTTAAAAATGTGAATGTAATACAATAGACTACATATGTCTAGAAAAAAATGGGAGAGTATAGAAAACATACAATACTGATCTTTGTAATAAGTGAAGTCTGATGAGCATCTTCATTTCTGGTAGGTGTTTTGAAAACAACATGACAAAGGCAAACTGAAAAATGTTTTTGAAGATGTTTATGAAGGAAGTCTCCTAAGTCTGAGGAGAAGATGAAAGAGATAATCATTGTTAGAAAATAGACAATAATTAATGGAAATTGGTTCCCTGGGCCAGTCAAAGATCGAATACTGATTCAGAATAAAGAGGCAAAAAGGAAAAGGCTATGAAAGACCTCAAAATTTAAATACATGTATATGTATTTATATCTGTCTCCTAAGTCCAGGAAGATACCTTTTGCAGCAGCATTCTGATAAGAGCAAGCAAGATTACACTTGAGAATGTTGCAGTAGTCAATTTACGAAATGATGAGAACCTAATCTAGGTTTATTGCTGTACAGATGTACAAAAAAGCCTTTATGCTGGGCAGAAGGAATCTGAATCTTGGACATAGCCTGGATATCAAGTATCTGGAACTTCGATTAGAATTTAAATGCCTATATTACAGATGAATGGCTGTTGGTACTGCTTTTGATAACCAAGAAAGAAGGTAGTGGGTGGAATTTCAAGGGCAAAAATTAAAAACCTACTGAGCTTGATCTGACATGTAATCATACTTCAGAAGATATCAGAATGTTTCTTAGACCAGCCAAAGCAAGTAGCTATGATCTGAAGGTAGATATGGAGCAGATACAGTAGTTCTCTGAGTTCTTGGAGGTAATGCTTCATTTTTCATTTTTGGAGGTTGTTTGCATGTATAGAAAAATGTAAAGACAGAAGAGAAGATGATGGAGAGAGGTCATAAAGTCGAGCTGAGAAGAGGTAGGGAGGGCAGAGAAAAGAGTCTCACTAGAGATGCCTCCTACTACTTTTTCCAAGGGACACCATGACACTGAAAAGGTTGAAAACATTATAAAATGTATGGTAAAGCTCCGCCTTTATTTGAACGTGGCTGAGTATCAATATGGCTGATATAGCATGTGATTCTTTCAGCCCTTTATTTAAGGTGACAATAGTCCTAGATACAGAGAATTTCCTCAGTTTTATCAGTAAGGAGATCTTGATAGTGACAATTTTTACTCTCAGATTCTTTATGATGTGCAGCTTTATAATGCACACAGATGAAGAAGCTAGATTGTCTCAGGCACGCTGGAGCTACACCAAATAAGACGCTGTGATGAGACACTGGACAGTGATGTAGAAAGCAGTGGGCTGTAACTGTTTTGCACCATGTCTCTGGGTAGCAGCACAAAAGCTCTATTTTTTCTGCATAATGAGAATAAACAGTAGTAACCTTACATCAGGTAAGATTTTCAAAAACAAACATGAATGTGAGCAAAAGAAAAGAAGCTCTTCTATTGAATAATAAATCTTTCTTCTATAGGAAAAAATGGAAATGACTGGAACGTTCAAACAACAAAAATTTCGACTGGTGGATGAAGGTTTTAATCCATCTACAATCACTGATCCTCTTTATTTTTTAGATAATTCTAAGAAAGCATATGTCTTGTTAACCAAAGAAATACATGAGATGATCTTATCTGGGAAAATGAAACTTTAACCTGATAATAGGCTATTAAGGGACTGTCTATACAAGCCACTGTATGAGTAACATTAATTACCAGTATTTATACATAGTTATTCAGATTAATATTTTATATACTTGATATTTACATTCAGATATGTCTTGTATCTTTCCTTATTTGATCGTTATTGTTGACTAATCGCTTTTTACCTTTTGAAACCGATTTCTAAGTAAATTACCTGTAAAACATGACTGAAATCCATTTTATCTTCATTTTGCAGTATAAATGCTCAATCTGATAGTTTTTCTTAGTACAAAATGAGCATGAATAATATGTGGTATGAAATACAGTAAGAAAACATTCAACATATAAAGATATTGTGACACAAGTTGATTGTAGAGAGAGGAAATATATCAGTAACGTCTTTTTTTAATGTAGTTTACATTTCATATATTTCTGAATATATATTTTAAGAAATAAAGACTTGACAATGATTGGAAGAATGAAACAACTCTTTTGCAGAGGACTTTTCTGATGGATTATAACATGAGAGAGAGTGAAGCAGAAGCAAGCTCTCCAAACAAATCCAAAGAACTGGTTTATACTAACATCACTGATGAGATTTTTTGTCATAATCCATGCTCTTTCACTTGTTAAACTGTCTGCTTGGAGTGTCAGGTTCTGAAGACAGAGCGAACTTTTGTGAAATGTTTAGCAGCAGATCAACAATAGGCAGAGCAAATGTGCACACTTAATGGGGAAAATCACTTACATAGCATAAAAAGAATTATTACAGTACTTTGTCATGCATATTGACTAACAAATATCTTCCTTACTCTAGAGGTTATTATTTTGTGCATATAAAATATAGCATAAATTTTAAAATTATAAAGAATATGTTCTAATGTATTGCTTTTAAAAAGTTTTAAAGTAAAGTGTAAGATTATTTAAACCAAATTCTGCATTGTCTCAGTTTGACTTAAGTGTGATTGCATAAAGTCTGTTTTGTGGCCTGTTTTGATACACCTCTTGCAGTGTCCTCCTTTAATGGATTGCGATGCCAGCTTTTGTCAGCCAGAAGCAGTATCATAAATACTGAAAGGGCGACTCTTTTCAACACTGGGCATCATAAGTCTCTCTTCATACCCTAACTGTGGTATGAAACCAGGCTCTCATAAAACAATAAGATGTAACGTACTTAAAAAAATAAGTTTGTTTCTTTCTACTTTTTACATCTAACAAGATGTTAGAACTTGTGTAAACTTTTGTTTCTCTCATTATTGCCTTCATTGATTTTCCTTAAAAACCCAACCAAGGATACAGTAAAAAAAAAATACAAAGTTTCATAGCTTACTTATATTTCTGAATACCATATTCTTTATGGGACCACCAGTATAAGTGAGCAAATTTGCAATTTTGCAATTTACAAAGCAGCAGGACCAAACAGTACTTACACCAACATCATGCTTTATGGTAGATGTTAATGTAATTGTTAAGTGCATAATGGTGAAAGGGCAGGACTGCTGGGTAAGGATGGAATGGGTCACTAGGGTCTAGCACTTTCTGAGCAGTCCTACTTTCTATATCTGTTTCTTTATGTAGTTCCCAAAATGGCTGTCTATGACAGAAAGCTGGAGGGCAGGTGTGGCGGGGTGTGCTGCTTATTTAGACAGGTGAAAGTACCATTGCTCTGTTCTGCAGATAGTTGCACTTTCCTAGTCAAGAACCACAAATTTAAGAATGAAATATTTACCATAAAGTTAAACCCAACTTTGCAAGTTTGGTTATAATTCTGAGCAAAGTATTGGTAATTGAAATCAAAACTATTTTCTCTCTTATGCCCATCTTACCATAAGTGTGTGCCAAATACTCTTCAGGAACCATTTTCTTCAATTACAACAGTAACAATTATGCAGTTCCTGTGCAAATAATACTTTTTTATAACAATTTTCTAAAGAATTTTACCCTGAGATCCACAGTAGCATGTTTAATCTTGTAATAGAATACAACTGAATATAATGAAATCAAATGCTTACTTTTTGTATCAGATGTACCACTGTTTTGATTTATTTTGCTTTATGATACTTGATACTATTTATGACAAGCGAAAAGGTTCTACCAGTCAGGTGGAATAGAAATGAGAGGGAAAAAAAAAATAAAAAGGAAACAAGTAAATGGCTTTCCATACCAAAAAAAAAAAAAACAAACCAAAAAAACCACCACCAAACAAAAGAAACAAAAACCTGTTTGTGACTGTCACCATTTGGTGGCTTATTTTGTAAAGTATCTAAGATAAAGATTGTTTCTGTGTGGTTAGGGCAGAGGACAGAGATAGCATTAGAGAAAGAAAAATGCAAGTGTGCTAACTTCCATGTTCTGTCCACTACCAGGGCAATGTGTTGGTGTTTCTGAGCTCTGTGGTATATTTCAGCAGCAGCAGGACTCTCCAAACTTTGCTGGCTTGAGCAGCCTACAGGTGTTTGTCTCCCAGCTGTGACCATTAAATATACTGAATGCCAACTACTCCCCTGTATTCCTTAGTGTAACTAAGACAGCCTGGGCAATCTGCCTGTTTTCAAAGGCTAGTAAAAGACTATTGTCCCATGCACTATCTCAAGAGACAGGATGCTTATGACATGAAGAAAATAATAAAGGGAAAATCTACAGAACCATAGGCTTTCTATTTCCTAAGGGGAAAAGAGTATATTATTTTCAAACCAGTAGTTTTCTTTCTTTTAGCCAGTAGGTTAGCTGCCAGCAGATGCACTGCAGCATGTTGCAGCAAAATGTCACATTTCCCATGGATATATAAATTGTTGAACTGGCACTGAAGTTAGGCTGAATGATAATGATGTTCATGTCAAACAGCAGGAAGGGCCTTCCTTTCAGAATGATGAAATACTTGGATCAACCTGTTTGTTTCCTACCCTTATACCCAGATCAACATGTGGAATGGCTGAGGGCTTGAGCATCACTGCAAAATTATGCCCCAGCATTTGCCTGGGAAGTTTCATTTTATGTAGCAGGGGCAAAGAAGCAGCTGAGGGTGGCTGGGGTGTGGATGGAGAGCTGCACTGTTAACTTCACGTGTTAAAAAAAGAAGACAGAGTTATTAAAATAAATAATGGTAATTATTTTTGAGATTTAGCATATATATCTTGAAGTTTTCCTCTGCAATTGGAGATGGTCAATGATGTAAGGAATGTTTATTTTTAAAAAATCGGATTGGAATTATCATTTAGGGAAGGTCTGCAAGGGTAAACACATACTTTCTTTTCCTAGTGAATCTGGCATGGTTAATACAGTTGTAGTCTGTATTCCTTTTCATAATTCTTTCTCAGGGTCCCCAGGAAATGGTAGAAAAATACAAAGTTCCTAAGCAGATCATGGCCTGAATTTTACGTTCCTCACCCAAGTCAGGTAGATACAGTTTTTCAAGAGATGAAGCATCTAAACTGTCCTTCACACTCCTGCCAGCATTCCCATACCTGTAACAGCCACCGTAAAGAATGTATTTCAATTGACCTACAAATTCCCTCCAGGTGACATACAGAAAACATCTTCTACTGTTGGTTTTGTATTACTTTTGTGGAATAAAAAAGAGGTAAAGGAAAAAGCAGTCTTGTTTGCATTTTTAAAATTAAAAAATACTGGATGGCTATGGGAGGAAAGACAAAAAAGACCCTTTACTTGAAAGTGTGATGATTCATTTTCAGTAGCCTTTCCCCAGCTAACAGTGCAACTAGTAATCTGATGTGCATTCTCACACAGAGCAGAAATTATAAGACACATACCAGTATTTATGAAACTTATTCATCAAGTGAAAACTAATTTCAAGCAAATAATGTCCTTCTGTTTAAAATTTGCTATCTCAAAAAATGCTATTTACAGTAAAATTAGATGCAAACATTCAGCAAACAGCCAAAGAAAGTTGCACATGAATAGCAGTAATTTTAGGAATAGATTTAGTGTGATCTATATTATTAGCAGTACTGTCAATAACTGACAACAGTCTGATAATTAATTTGCCATAAGGGTAACATCAGAAGATCATCAGATTGTGTCCTGGTATTTGGGACACAATACCTTACACATTATACCCTTAATTAGACAAATAGATTATATGTTGTAGATGGCAATGCTAGTTTTAAATAAACTAGGTCATTATCAGACTGAAATTAAATTCCTGTATCACTAACAAATCCACAAGTTCTCCACAGTCTGAGAATCTTTTAGGAAAACTGTCTTCGTTCAGTTTCTCCAAAGACTGCATCAGACACAGCTCAACTTAAACAGTCAGGAATTGCTTTTGCAGTATAACAAAGCAGTCTTCATTGCTGCCTTGCAGCAGGAGACACACTGATCCATATCCATCTGGAGCCATTCCTGGTAACACAAGGCTCACATAGATCCCGTTATTACATTATCCTGCATTAGAAGTGGCAGGGTTTATGTTATGTCAGTGGTACCATATATAGGAATAATTCTTTACTTATAAAAAGGGCACTTATGTTGGCAAAACCCCACTTTTTGTTGTTACTGTTGTCTCCTTTTCTTCAAGTAACTGATACTGCTATGCTGACAAAACTAGTAGTTTTTGCAAGTATGTATGGTTCTAGTATAGGACTGGCCAAGTCTGCTAAGTTGCTCTTTGTGGTGGTTCTGGTTTTAGATCTCAGTTCACTTAAAATAAAACCAACAACAACAATAAAATACAAACAAAATAAAACAAAAAACCCATTGTAACAAATTGAGTACTGAGCACTCAATTATTTAAAGCATGTTTTGCAAGAAAGAAGTGAATGCCTTGATAGGAATTCTAGTATGAAAAGTCCTGCTCATTCAGTGCAACCTGCTGAGTAGAGATAAACAGACTTGTCAGTCTTTTACAGTGCTTACTGTATGGAAGGACATACATTGGTTTTAAATTTGGTTTAAAAACTTTAGTTTTAAAATACTGTTTAAAACAGCAGATTTGATCCAAACCCAGACAACTGCTTTTGTAATACAGTTATTGTTCTGGTAAAATTCATTA